GTACTGGACTGTGGGCGCCACTAGCCCCCTTGGCAAAGCCAGGGGGTCAGGCCGGCATAGCTACTGCTCGTGGAGACGTGACCGTAAGCCCCCCTTGGCAAAGCCGGGGGGCCGGGGTCAGCTGGCAAGGCCGCTGCCCGTGGCACAGTTCCTCTCCACCTTGCTTGGCTCCCTGCCTGGAACCTGCTGTGGCTAGACAATAGGTCTCCCAAGAAAGCTAGAGAGCCTGTTTCCCTGTAGAAGGGGTAGGTCATGCACCGGTGCTTGATAAACAGAGAAGTTTTGATAGCACCCTGTGTTCCCCTGTTGTTCCGTGGAGTAGCTTTGCAGAAAGGACAAAGAAACTGGCTTGGGTGCAGCCCCCCTCCTCCTTATTCCCCATAATTGTAATAAAAGCCTTGAATAAACGGAGTTCGGGGCTCAGCGGGATGCTGAGACCTCTCCAACCTGACTCCCTGCGTCCTTAACTCATTTCCGCCCCCTCCCCTCTCCTGACGAGGCTGGTCCGCGGCAGGTGGCGCCCAACGTGGGGCCCGAAGAGGTACGAGGGATTTGGTGAGAAACCCCCGGGGGGGGCCCGTAGCAAAAAGCGGGGGGATTTAATAGGAAGTGCCGTTATGGGTGCTTCAGAATCAAAGGAGCGGAACATGTACGTGCAATTGCAGAAAATGTTGCTCCGTAGACGAGGGACCAAGGTTGGAGAGAAACAGATGGAAAGGTTTTTCAAATTTGTAGAGGAGATATGTCCCTGGTTTCCCGAGGAGGAGACAGTCTCCCTACATACCTGGGAGCGAATAGGAGAAAGGCTCCGCGACGCTTATCTAGCCCGCGGGCCCGAGAAGATTCCCATTGATGCCTTTTCCCTTTGGAACTTAGTCCGTGACAGCCTTGATCCAGTACAAGAAATTGAGAGAATGACCCGTAGTCTAGCAGTATCCACCAGAGAAGATCGGCTAGATACCCAGTCAGTGAAGTCTAAGCATTCTTATACCAAGCCCCCAGTGGATGCCACGTTGCTGGCCCCTCCAGGGCCCCCACCTCCTCTGAGCCCTTTTGCCTCTGCTCCTCCTATAGACGAGGAGATGTTATCCCCCTCCGATCAAGAAGACTTAGAGGAAGCAGCAACAGCGTATGAGGTAGAAAGAGACCCTCAAGTGTTCCCCGTCTTAGGTGACCAGGTAGAGGTTACTGCAGAAGAGGAGGAGGGGGAAGATGAGGATGCTATCTTGGATCCTAGAGCTTTTGCTAGACTGGCGGATACTCTGCAGTTGCTAAGGCAGCTGGCAGGTACTAAAGAGTTAAGCCGCCAGCAGAGAATAAAAGAGAAAACCCAGTGCCAACTCCAGAAGTTAGGAGAAGGGTGTGTCTGCCGCCGCTCCGGCTGTGGCGGCGGCGTTACGAGCAGGTCCCCGGCCGACTGTAAGCCCCCGTAATCGGGGAGCCCTTACCCCCTTGCAATTATCTTTGAGACAGGAGGGATTGTTTGCAGGCACTTAATGATTTTCAAAAATTACTAGGTAATATCAACTGGCTCAGACCCTCCGTTGGCCTCACCACGGAACAGCTGCTGCCCTTGTTCAACATTTTGCGTGGGGATCCTGACCCCACGTCCCCGCGTGTCCTCACGCCTGAAGCTGAGGACACGCTCGCTTTAATAGATCAAGTTTTGAGCCAGCAACAGATTCTAAGAGTGTCTCCTAATCAACCTTTTTCTTTGTTAATTCTAGATACCCCTTACTTGCCGACGGGCCTCCTCTGGCAGGGGGGGCCCCTAGAATGGCTGCATTTGCCCAGCCAGCGGCGTAAGGTGATTTATCCATACCATCAGGCTATAGCCACTGTAATCCAGAAAAGGCGCTCCCGGGCCCTGGAGCTTTTCGGCCGGGAGCCACTTCATATTGTCCTCCCCCTCCGAAAGGACCTAGTGCAACGATTGTTCCAGAATGATGAAGACTGGGAGACGGCTCTCGTAGGATTCCCCGGCCAACTCACATATCATCTCCCCAAACATCCCTTACTTAACTTTTAGACGGCTCATCCCTTTGTTTTCCCTAAGGTGTGCTCTCCACGCCCTCTCACCAATGCTTCACTAGCATTTACGGATGGCTCCAGCAACGGCACAGCCGCCTGGGTTATTAATAACATCCCTTATGTTTTACAGACAGGAGAATCTTCTGCTCAACGCGTTGAACTCGCTGCAGTCATCAATGTCTTTGAACAACTATCTAACCGCCGCTTTAATTTATATTCTGACGCTCAATATATTGTATCTCTCTTTCCTCACCTGGAGACTGCTGTGTTGCCTGGACCGGAGGCTTCTCCCGTTATGCCTTCTCTTTTGCGCCTTCAACATTTGCTTCGCACACGCACTCAACCTTGCTTCATAGGGCACATTCGCGCCCACAGCAATTTGCCTGCAGTCCTTTTCTCTTCTTAGGCTGCCCCGCCAAATTAAAACTGATAATGCCCCTACTTATACCAGCGACAGCTTTCGCGGCTTCTGTGCTACTTTCACTATTGCCCATGTGACGGGCATTCCTTATAATCCGCAGGGGCAAGCGCTCGTCGAGCGCGCGCATCAATCACTTAAGCTTTTGCTTAAAAAACAAAAGGGGGGAGGCGGGGACATGTGTGTGTTTTCCCTAGGAACGCGCCAGCCCCCCTTTGGATTCCCGAACGACTTGCTCGTCCCCAGAATGAAGAAGCAGAACAAAGAGGAGAGAAATCTTCCCTTCCGTTTGAAGAAGTTGTCGCTCGGGGAGGAGGACCCCGAGCTCCTAGTCGGCCACCATCTCTATCCTCTGCTTCAGATGCCTCCTGAGGCACAGGGCCCGCCTCCTTGCCCGAATAGAGGCCGCATGCGACCCCCCTCGCGGGCCACGCGAGAGTCGCCGCCTGTCACTTGGGGGCAGATCAAGCGCCTCACCGGAGAGGCGCAAGCCGCCGTGGCCCATGCCGGGCTTCCCAGCTGTCCCAGCACGCTGTTATTGGCCATGGTGGCTGTCCTCACTGCTCAGCACTGCATGCGCAGATTCAGCGGATGTCCAAGGCCCACCTGGACCTGAGTGCTGCAGACACAGCTCAGGACATTCTGAACAGCCTGCGGGACGCTTGGGGGAACGATGACTGGTGGACTCGAGTGGTTGGAGGGGCGGCAATAGTTGGGTTGTTTATTTGCTTCCTTTTTTGTTTTCCAGCCCTCCTCCGATACTCCTGCAAACAGTGGCAAGCCCTGCAGCTCCAACAGTTCAGATACCATCTAGAGGAGATGCGGGCGCCACAAGCCCCCCTTGGCAAAGCCGGGGGGCCAGGACCAGCTGGCAAAGCCGCTGCCCGTGGTGACCTTTCAGCTTAGAAAACAAAAAGGGGGAGATGTGGGCGCCACTAGCCCCCTTGGCAAAGCCAGGGGGTCAGGCCGGCATAGCTACTGCTCGTGGAGACGTGACCGTAAGCCCCCCTTGGCAAAGCCGGGGGGCCGGGGTCAGCTGGCAAGGCCGCTGCCCGTGGCACAGTTCCTCTCCACCTTGCTTGGCTCCCCTGCCTGGAACCTGCTGTGGCTAGACAATAGGTCTCCCAAGAAAGCTAGAGAGCCTGTTTCCCTGTAGAAGGGTAGGTCATGCACCGGTGCTTGATAAACAGAGAAGTTTTGATAGCACCCTGTGTTCCCCTGTTGTTCCGTGGAGTAGCTTTGCAGAAAGGACAAAGAAACTGGCTTGGGTGCAGCCCCCTCCTCCTTATTCCCCATAATTGTAATAAAAGCCTTGAATAAACGGAGTTCGGGGCTCAGCGGGATGCTGAGACCTCTCCAACCTGACTCCCTGCGTCCTTAACTCATTTCTGCCCCCTCCCCTCTCCTGACGAGGCTGGTCCGCGGCACTGGACAGAGCCTGGACATCATCAATTAGTTGTTTAGAGAGCTTTGTGTATGAATGGACTGCGACTCCTAATCCTGCAGTCCCTGTGGCAACTGCTCCAGAGACGCCTAATCCAACTAATAAGGGTATGAATGTTAATGCTCTTTTTTGTCGCCCCGTAATATGGTCTAAGCTGGGAATGGGGACAGGCTCGTCTCTGGGGAGAACACCTATATCTGGTAGTAAGGTAGCCAAGACACATAGCCCGGTCCAGTTAGCGGGCAAGGCTGAAAAGGCCAGGTTGTTTCCACAAACAAATATTTGTCCATGACTTGGGCAAAGGGGGTTACTATAATTGGTTATGCTTCTACAACTAGTAAATTCTATAAAGCTGACGAGAATGTCGAAGCTATTATTTTGAGCTATGCCTTGTAAGCACGGGGAGGGTGGGAATATTGTAGGTTGGACTCTAAAAGGTAAACTAGGGTTACATTGTAGCTGGCTACGGCCATTTTGTTTTTTTCTAAGGTTTTTAAACTGAGCCGCTTATAGGAGTGGGAGTATGAGGGTTCGGAGGCAGAAGCCTCTTCCTCATCAGAGCTAGAGCCGTTAGAATCTCGTTCATCCTCACTACTTGGGAGAGGGTGTTGGGAGCTGTCGGTCTCGCGGGCTCGGCTACTTGAGGGCACGTCAGCTTGGCTGTTTGAGGGCGCATTGGCCTGACTTTGGCTTCTGGTGACGGGGAAAGCGAGTAATTCAGTGGAGGTGGATACGGTCAAATCAGTGAATTCTTTAGCCACGGCCTTGATTTCTCGAATGAGAATTAAGGCTTCTTGAATGGAGGTTTTTTGGAGAAGGGGTTTTGGTGGATTGTTGGTGGCTCGGGGTTGTTTAGAATGGGGGCCAGAATACGGGTGGCCGCAGGCGGTAGGTTCGAGGGTGCATAGGGGGATGGCCGAAAAGCGGGGAGATCTTTAAGTAAGGGAGCAGAAGAGAGGGGAGGCCAGTCAGGGTTATTGTAATGAGCGGCCTCTTCTTCCAGTTCGGCCTCTTCTGCTGGGTCTAATTGGTCGACATGGTTATTTGAGGAATTACGGGAAGGGTCAGGGGGTTTTTTAATCTCTTCCTCTACATTAATGGAAATTGAGGGGGCCCTCGAAGGGGGCCGAGATTGATTTTTTGAAATTTCTTGTCCCTCTTTACAGAGGCTCTGGACATCCGGAGAATGCCCATGAGTGACTAAGATTTCTTTAATAAGATTAAAATAACTGAAGGTGGTGATAGGGACGGTCTGGGGGCCAAAGACTCGATAATAGTCGTTAAGGCAATCTCCGACCCGGTTCCAACACCGCGGGTCAATCGTCCCCTCTTGGGGGAACCAGGGGCACGTTTTGAATATAAAGTCAAAAAATAAAACTAAATCCTTTTTCTTAACTCGAGTTCCTCGCACCTTGAGAGTTTGCTTTAATTGCCTTATAAAAATATCATTTTGTGAACATGCTTGTCCCATGATTGGGCCTTATCTGGCCGAGTTTGCCAAGAGGGGAGGGGCTCCTGGATCTGTCTCGCCTTCGAGTAGTTGCGGCGATCCGCGAGGGGAAATCACTGGCGGGGACGGCGCTTTGTTCCAGCGGCTATCGGGCCTCACGTTGGGCGCCACTTGCCCGCGGAGCAGTCAACTGCAGCTCAACCACCTACCTAGAACAAATGGGTTGGGGGGTCAAGAGGCTCGAAGAATGGCAGCAAGACAAAAGATTCTGATCAAGCTGCAAACTTTATTTTTCCGAACTGGGTATATATATAGGGGAGGAGGGAGAGATTAGGTTGCTTGCTATTGGCTAGCTCGAGACTAAGAAGGGCCCGCTTATTGGTTACTTGGGTGCAACTGGTACTTGTGGACACCTCATGTGCCTGTAGCCGATTGGCTTGTGGAGCGCACAGGTTCCTGTAATCAACGCAATGTTTTTAGCTAGAAGCCAGGTGTAAGGTTCCCAACAACCTGTATTATTTTAAACATTTTATTTATTATTTTTAGAGAGGGTGAGGGAGGAAAAAAAGAGAGGGAGAGAAACAATGAATCTGTGATTGCCTCTCACATGCCCCCTACTGGGAACCTGGCCCTCAACCCAGGCATGTGCCCTGACTGGGAATTGAACCAGAGACCCCTTTGATTTACAGGTAGGTGCTCAACCAGTGAGCCATGACACCCAGGAAGACATCTATATTATAAAAAAGAAAACTTGAATAGTCTCTTGTAATGAGAAGATATTCATAGAAGTGGTAAAAAAAAAATACCAGAGAAGATGTTCAATGGCTACATCACAGCACAATACCCCTTCACAGACACTACAAAGGCTATAATGAGAAAGCAAAACTGAGAAATGTTTATGATCACAAACTAATATTGGAACAATTGACCATTTCTTTTGAAAATATAAAATATTGCAGACCTTGTATAAAATGGTTTGACATTTCCTCAAAAAAATTATCCTACTGTGTTCAAATCTACTTTGAAATACAATCTGAGAAATTGAGGACAGATGTTATAACAAACTTGTACATGATTATATATAACAGCACTGTGAATAAGAATTGAAAGGTAGAAAGTATTCAAATGTCCATCCACAAGTAAACGAATACACAAAATTTGGTTATTCTGTCACTGAAAAGGGACTGGACCCAAGGGGTCCAGTTTGCCCTGGAAAGGTCTCACGTGTGTAGGTTCTTGACCTCCTGCAGCAAAATTTCACAACACAAATCTAGAGAATTTTGAGAGTTTGTATATTAAATCTAAGGACAGTGAAACAAAGGAAGGGCTTCAGAGAGAAGAGGCACAATCACAGCAACAAGAGTGAGCACAGGAGGAGCTGCTTCTTGAGAAACAGAAATTTAGATGCAAAGAAGGTCTTTGGAGACAGGATCAGGGGGTGAGTCCGGGACAAGCTGCTGCTGCCCACAGCTCCCTGCCTGCAAGTCCCAGGGACCTTTGGAGATAATGAGAAACAGTGAAGATATGCAGCAAAGAAGAGAAGGGAAGGTGCACGTGAACTCAATGAACAGCTCACACTGGGTCCTTTTTTAAGGGTTTTACCTGTTTTCTAATGTTGAGGACTTTAGAGGAGGTCTTAGAAGAGTCATCTCCACAGAATACTCTGCTTCCCAGGACCAGGAGTGTCATTCATGTGCTGATGCAACAAAACAAGCACACAGAGTGATCAGGGTCCTGCTCTGGTGACTTTCTCCTTCAGAAAAGTCACCAGAAAAGGGCTGGGACTGAGGTGGGTCTTCCCCTGTGTGATCTGGAATGTGTGAACCATTTGCTCTCAAATGTCCTTTGTCAGGGAAGATAAGGGCCTCAGATTTATTACCTGGCTGTAAATTGCTAGGCCTTATTTAGCTATCAAACTTACTTTTTCCATTCCACTTGCCAAGGAATTTTCCTATTTTTTTTTTTACAAACCTACCTCAACTCCATACACTTGTGGATTCATATTGGCATTGAATTTGTCAAAATGGTCATCTCTTGACAAACACCAGAGCCAAACTCAGGATCCTGGACACAGACCTTTGACTCCAAAACCTGCACCCTGGAGTGGACCCAAACCAAAACCAGGACTGCAGGCCCAAAGCCCCAAACCCAAAGCCTTGTGCCGTCACCCAAGCCAGACCATGAGGTCCGAAGACCAAACACCAGATGCCAGGGACTGATATTGGACCCTTAATACCAGATGCCATTCACCAAAACCAAAAGCTTCATCTGCACATGGACCTCCATGCAAACCCAGGACACAAAGCCACATCCTAAGAGGTACAAGACTGTAGACCCACAACCGAATACACTTTGACTCTGAAGCACAGACCCTGGACACAGGATGCGGATCTCTAACCAGGACACCAAGGCCAGATTTTGGATTTGGAGCCCTTTGCCAGGCCCCTGTGGCCAGAGGCCGGAGGTAGGAGCTGAACCAGTTCCTCCCATTTTACACAACCCCGTGATTCAATGAGATAAAACCCTTGTCTCTCCCAATGCAAACTTCAAAATTTACCAAACCCAGCAGAAATAGGCCAAAAGACAGAGTCAAGAAAAAGGATGCTGACCTTGGAAGGCAGATGTCCATGGTCTCTCAGTTGCAACAGGTTCAGGAGTTAGCACTGTCTCACCATTCATTCCACACTGCCAGCTTTTCAAACCTGTGGGGAATTATTTTCCACAAACCTTGTCGACTCTAACACCTGTGCGATAATAATTAAAATAGCACAATATAAGATATAATCTTGTATCATAAGATCAATACAAGATATTCAACATTGAATACATGCATGAGTACAAATGAATACCGGACAATGAGGTGTTATCACGCATACAGGACCTTTGGGAGTCTGGGGAAACAGGGCCTTATAGAGGTAAGATGGGTGATAGAGACAGGAAACTTATGAAAAGTGCAACCTTCATGGAATGTTACTTTTTGGCAGACAATCCTACGAACTATAGGATGCAAGCTAAGCTAATAAACTTTTCCGAATTTCATTAACGTAATCATTCAGTTGAAAATGGATTGCTTTGCTAAAATTGTTAAATCTTGTGGCAACAGCAGCGGACACAGCCTGGGAGAGCGACCAGCTGCCAGGAGGGCCTTGCATCGCCCACAGGGGGTCAAAGGTCTGAGCATCTCTGTCCAGTGCAGTGTGGACTGTCCTCCTCTGCCTGTAGCCATCGGAGTGCAGCAGAGCCCATGAGTACAAGGCAAGGGACCGTGAAGCCACAACCAGCAGGCGAGCCACGGCCACATAGGTGGGACAATAAGATTTGTCATCTCTAGTGACACATGACATGGCAGCAGAAAGCCACACTTGGGACATTTTTTCAAAGGGACCATCCTGTGCTAGGGCAAGTTTTAACAAATTTCAAAGGACTGAAATTATATACAGTATGTCTCTTTCTGTCATTACTGTCAACATAGAAATTAGAAACAAAAGTTAACTAGTTAGTCCTGATATATAAAACTTACTAAATACACATCTTAATAACATTGCAATCAACATTCATTGATATTCTACTACAGTCAACCACTACCCCCCACCTGCCACTAACATGTTATTCCCAAAAGGTCCACGAGATGGCAGCAGAGATGCACACTTGGAACGCTACCATTTCCTTAGCCAAAGGGTTCATTAGATTTTTAGGTAAAGACACAATGAAAGTGACGTGTTTCGTTTTCACCAATAATTTTATTGAACAAGGTATTCACTGGTTCGTCCCACTGCTTTCTGTAGTCTTTCAGGCACTTTCATAATTCCATCTTCCCAAAAGTTTTTATCTTTTGGGGAAGACAATAAAAAGCCAGTGTCAACAAGCATCGCAGCATTGAAAGTATGTACGTTTCTCTAAGTGCTATTATTGCACTGAAGCTAGAATTCATTACGACTGGGTGACTGGAAAGGCCTTATATTTGGTAGTTATGTAATACACTTCCAAATAACCACAAAAATACAACAATTTGATTTACAAAATAAACAGAATGGGGATAAAGATACCACATACTAAAACTTATGAAAAACATCTTCGCCCTTAAATGCACAGTCTCAAAAATAGAAGCTGAAAATTTACAACTTTTGTGCCCATACTTCTAACCTAAAATAGTAAGTGAAATCCAGAGAAAGTAGATAGAAACATTCACGTCGACTTATCTGCAAGTGTATATACGTAAAATGATGGCTATTCTTTTCAACTCTTAGGTAAACTTTTGAATAACTGTTTTCTCATTGTTGAAGTAAGCAGCAACAAAGTAAGTTAAAAATGCTTTTCACCCACACTTGTAACTTTTTAAAAAATGACTACATTTAGCTATAAAGCAGGTTTCAACAAATGTCTCACAAGCTATGTTTATTGCTCTTTTTGCCATTAATCTGAAAACCAGTCAGAAAGTAACTACAAAGTCCCTATATTTAGATGTTTTAAATACACTTCTAAATACCTTCCCAAAGTAAATCACAGTCAGAGTGGAAAATAATTTACACAGAAAAATAATAAAAATACTGCATGCCAGACCAACATCTTTCTGGTTTCAAAAATGATAAAAGCTTCAAACTGTTTCTAAACCAAAGGTGAGTTTTGCCCCAAGGGGACTTCAGGCAACGTACTGAGTCATTTTAGATTGTCCTGAGGGGAAAGGAAGTGAGGGTGATTGGCAGCAAATAGAGGTATTGGATGCTAATAAGCACCTACAATGCAGAGGACAATCCCCCAGGAGAATGAATTCTCTGGCCCAAAACGTCCACGGTGCTGAGAATAAAAACCCCTGCTCTGTATCATGAAGACTCCATTAGAATACAAACAGCACGTCCCTTTGCATCCTACCTCTGAAAGGCTGCCTTTCTTTCAGATCTAAGAACAGGAAGCGTGGAGGCTAAAACTTAAAGAACAAAAAATGCCAGCCGTCTTGCCAACATTGGGGAGAAGTGTCCTGGGCAATAGGTCAGGCGGCAAAGGAAGATCTGTCCACTTAGCAGACCAGATCACACTGTGACTACACAGAGTAGTCATCTGAGGATCCTGCTTCTTTCCATTGCTCACACATCACTTTCATAACTGACTCATAATGTCACTTAGAACAAAGAATCTTCCTCTGTTACATTCCACATTGGACCATCTCAAGTTTTCCTCCTTGAAAATGTGGACATTTGCTACCTTCTGTGTTCCTCAGATGACCTACCTGGGGCACATTTCCTGTCACAAAATACTTCTCATTTCTGGAACACCGTGCTTCCAGGCCCTAAACTCACTTAAAATGCTAAGAAGGATGTTACTATCTTATTTAGTCATTAATATATTCATGACTAACAAAGACTATTTTTCTAGCTCCTCACATTACCTCACAACTTCCTGTTTTCATTCAAGCTTTAACTATTTCTAGGTCACCTACAGCCACAACCATGTAATGATCATTATTGCATGAGAGCATGTTTACCTTCATAACTCATTAGAATCAACAGAAAAGTATCACAATAGAATTTAGTGCCGTAATGGGAAAATAACATGCAGAAATAAATATGTAGAAATGCTAAGTTAAATTTGTAATTTTTAAAAAGACTCAGTAGAAACAAAACAGGTAAAAAAACTGGAAATAAACTTAACAACAATGTACAGCATCTATATGAACAAAATTGGAAACTGCTATGCAATAACAGAAACTTTAACAAATGAAAAATGTCATCTTCTTGTGAGGTTAAAAAGTAGCTATCTCTGTATATCTATTTACCAAAGTTCTCTATAATTGAAATATAATCTACATATATAAAGAACAGTGGTCTCACAGGAAGTAGTCAGCTAAATTGGACCTGAGATATGTACCCCAGAAAGTCTGGCCCCCCTTTCCTGCTCCCCACAGGGTGGCTGTATCTGCCCCCCACAGCCCCATCACCTCAGAGCCCCCACGCAACTCACCTCCTGCCCTTGAACTGCATTGCTTGCATCACGTTAGAATGTGAGCATCACCTCGTGACCACGGAGACCTGGAGCCGGCAGCGCCTAACCTCCAGCCCGCATACTGGTTCATCTCTCCACCAGAACTGCCTCCCCCCTCACTCCTTCACGCATAAATATGCCTCCCTCCCACCCCCACCCACATCTGCGGCCTGGCCACCTCTCACCTCCAGCCCACTCCAGCCTCTGACTTTAGATTCCGCCGCCATCTGTAAGTTTGATATTTAGTGGCCCATTTTTAAAAAACCAGCCAGGACTCAGGTATACTTGTGGACATGCAGTGTAATGAAGAAATACATTAATAGCATACACTTTATAAAATAAAATAATACTCTGAAACGTTCAGAGACTAAAAGGACCAGACACAAATTGGGAGAAAATAGGAATGACCTAAAACATAGGGTAAAAAAAACATTGAAAGTTAAAAAATGGGAAAAGACACACAGGATGGTACAAAAGCAGCTTTACAGTTGCTCACATTAACAATAATGTCATAATTATTAAATAATAACACAACAGTAAACTTTGTTTCTCGTACTAACAACTCTAAACCTACTTTTGTCCCACCCTGTCTTACGCAAACATAAACCACATGAAAATTACATACTAACATGCAGTGGACTTCACAGTAACAAGCATGACTAGAGATGATGAGCACTTTATTTCAATGAGTTTAATTTACTAGGAAGATCCAAATTTATAAACAATGTCATAAACTTAAATTGTATAGAACAGAGACAAATAAAAAGGTATAGTCATAATAGATTTAACAAACCTTTCTCATGAGAAATACAGCATTCCACTTTCAGAAACAAGAGAATACCTCAAAAAATTCAGTAAGAATATGAGAAACACCATGAGCAGCAAATTGGATTCAACATTCACAGGTAACCAACCATACACAGCTTTTTCCTGCGGGCCTGCCGTAAGATGTTATTCCCAAAAATGACTGCGAGGTGGAAGCAGAGATGCACACTTGGAACATTTTTTATATTGACCATATCGTAATGAAGTTTCAAAAAATATTCAAAGGATTGAAATTACATGAAGTTGCTGGCTCTCATTGTAGATAATCTAGAAATCAGTCGTAAAGGTCACCAGAAAATTCTTGCATTTGGAAGTTATGAAATGCACTTCTAAGTAATCCTCCAAATAAATCACAATTGGAGTTTAAAAATAATTTGAATAGAATATTATTAAAATACTTTAAAAACCTATGGGAAAATGTAGGCATTAATCTGCACATTAGGGGAAAACAGTTGAAAATTCACATGTTTTGCATCCATACTACGAACCCAGAAAAATAAATTAAATCTTGGAAACTAGAAGAATGGAAATAGGCAAGGAGAGATGTCTGGAAGGGAATATATTTAAAACAATAGCAGCTATTACCTGTTTGGGTAGGATTTTGAACTCATTTTTATTTCTCTGTATAATTCGAGTAAGCTGCCACCAACAAAAACCACCCTCACTTTGGGTAATGAAACAGTACAAGAGGAAAACGTGGCATAATTTAAGAAGGGCGATAACCTAGACCGCTGCGGAAACAACACCACAGGCCTTTTCTCTGATCTCCCAGGCTGACTTCAAAGGGGCCCCTTCTCCAAAGTGCACTTCTCTGTGTGCAAATGCAGCCCAGCAGAGAGGAAATGACAAGACCAGACCTGAATGAGCAGAGCACTGCTGGGCAGCTCAGCCTGAGGGGGAACTTGCCCTGGGGCTGCCTCATTTGGGGAGGGGCCCTCACAGCCAAGACGCTTCACAACTAAGCAGCAGCACCACTGGGCTGACCCACACAGGGGCTGCTTCATGATTCACCTGGACCAACACTGAGCTTCCTAACAGCCATGCTGCACTCACACCCATGAGTACCAAAACAGAGCTATTTGCACTAAATACAGTTTCCTTCTCCCCCACACCCAACTCTGGAACTCCTGCTGGCTTTGACTTGGAGCCAATGACCATCAGTTCACAGACACCAGATGCCACAGACAGACTCAGAACCAGACACAGGCCCTAGACTCCAGAACCTGGGCCCCAGAGCAGACCCAGAACCAAAAGCTGAACCCCAGGCCCAGGCCCCAATCCCAAAACTGTCCCCACGACCCAGGCCAGACCATTGACCCTGAATGCCAGACCCCAGACACCAGGGACTGATGGCAAATGCTGGACACCAGATTCCACACATCAGAGCTAAGACCCAGAGCTGCACCTGGACCCCACACACCCTCCCAGGACATGAAGCTGCACCCGAAGAGACTCCAGATCCCAGACACACAGGCACAGATTCAACCCCAGACCACAGACCCAGGAGACAGAACCCAGATCTGGAACCAGGACCCCACATCCAGACCTCAGAGCTGAAGCTGGACAATGGACCCCACTTGCCAGATACAAGAGCAGAACCAAGTCCTCACAATGTAAACAGAGCCAGGAGGCAATAAAGAACGTTCCTGACTCTCTAAGTCTAAGCAGCCAGCCTCAGAAATAGCTTTTCATATCCACGTAAGTGTACAAGGGAAGAAAACAGCTCCCGGCACTACTAAATGACACCAAGCCCTGCAGGAACACACCAAAAACACCGACAGAACCAAAAATAATAATAATGCTTATTCTTGCCGGGAGATGTCCAAGATCTCTCAGAGGCTGCACTTTCCAGAAGTTAGTGTCCCGGCCATGAATGTCACACGGCTGGCTCAGAAAACTTGTGGGGGAACAAAAAATTATTCTTGTTGTACTGATATGGGAAACTTTGAAGAACCTCTGTTTAACCTTTATTTGCCCAGGCCCCAGGCGCCCTAGGGAGAATGGTGGGGCCGTCTGGGATAAGTAAACAACAGTGCATTAGCTAGGACTGAGATTAACACACTGCTGTTAAAAACTGACCTTCGAGTTTGGCCTTTGTCCTCTGCTTCTGCCCCATAGCTAGAACTGACTTCCGCATTCCGCTTCTGTATCCCACTTTGCTACAAAGACAAGAAGACCCTGTAAACTATAAAAACCCCAAGAATCCTTTGTTTGGGGCTCAGAATTTGGAGATTGACTCTTATGGGCCCATGCACATTAATAAAACCTTGTACTCCAGAAACCCTCAGTGTCTGGTGGCTTCATTTTCCTGCAACAGTACCTTCTAGTTCTAACAGCTGGAATAACAATCAAATTCACAAAATCTGATTAATGGGAGGAATTCAGAGTCTACTACATGGGCAAGGGGAATTCATATTAAAGTGAATACCAAACATAATGAGGTAATATTGAGTATATGGAGTATTTTGGAAAATGGAAGAACAGAGTCTGAGATTTCAAAGGTCAAGTGGGAGACATGCAGGTAATTTAGGGAAAAAGCAGCATATCTGCCAGGCTAATTTCTGTTGGGCAACTCCCACAACTTTAAGACACAAGGAGTACAGTAAGACAGTCAACAGGCTCTTGCTAGGAGTCTTACTGTCTGAAGCTGAGGTGATTGTGCTGAAGCTCACTTCCTAAACCAAACTGTGGCAACTAAATCTCTTAGGAAGAACTGAGATGACACTCTTAAGTAATTTCTCAGTCTTCCCTTTCTGAACAGCCAGTTTAACATCAATGTGCCAAGTGCAAAATGCTGGCCCTCTCATGACCGCCCCTGATACTTTACACAGAAGTTGTATATCCACCAGCTACATTAGTGAAACATTGTTCCATATTTCACTGACATAATCGCTCAGTTTTGGAATCAGTTACTGTACTTAAATTGTTAAATCTCACTTAAGTAAATGGTGACATGCATGTACTCCCCAAATTCACCCCATATTAAATACCTGACTGCTTGCTTATGTGGTGGGGAAACAACCTTTTCTGGAACCTCCAGAACCTTTGGGCTGCTCTAATAATCCAACAGGTATGACACAGATTAGCAAGTGAAAATGGCCAACTGTCAGACATACACAGCCAGGACAACCTCACTCAGAGGACAGAGTCAGAAATCCCACACAGACAAGAGCATAAATGAGGCGGTGATGATGTGAGGTGCTGTGGTCCTTTTCTATGATAAAGATCTATCCTTAGATCTGTGGGAACATATTTGAGATGTAATAAAAGATGTTGAACAACTGAAGGAGAAAAATGTTGGGCCCCCTACATTACATCCTCCACCAAAATCAATTCTTTAATTGATTTCAATAGCCACTCAGAACTAACATAAAACACTGAGAGCCATCTAAAACATACCAAGAGATCTAAAGTGAAAGAATGGGGAAAATAATCTATATGAACATGAACCAAATGAAAACTATATAACATACAGTAGACTTGAAGGGAAAAAATGAACCACTACTACAAATAAAGACGAGTACTTCTTATCAGTAAGTTCAATGTACCAGTTAGTTCCAAATTTTTATTCAGTTAATAACATAAACTCAAAATTATATAGAATAAAGCTGCAAATTAAAAATCATAATAGGAGAATTAACCAACCTCTATCATTCAGGTTCTGTTTCAGAACCAACAGAGCCCACAAAAAATAGTAAAAATATTTTTAAAATAACATGAAAAGCAAATGGCATTCAGTGTGCGTAAGTACTTCACTGCACCCCAAAACTGCAAAGTACAGATGCTGTCCAAGCTCCCTGGGAATTTTTTTAAAAACCGGCCATATTGTGATATAAAGCAAGTTCCAGCAAACTTTAAAGAACTGAAATTTATATATATATATTATATTTATATTTATATACACACATATGTGTATATAAACATGTATATATTTTTTGCTCTCACTGACATTAATCAAGAAATCAGTAACAACACATACCTAGAAGTACTTATATTTACAAATTATGAAATACACTTCTAAATAACCACCCAAAATAAATCACAGTTGGAGTTAGAAAATAATTTGCATGGAATGATAGTAAAAACACTTCTTACCCAGTACAGATCACTCAGGTTCCAAACATGATCACAGCTTCAAGCTCAGTGGTTTTCCACCTAAGATTGACTTTTCCCCCAAGGGGACATTTGGCACATTGTATGGAGACCTTTCAGATTGTCCTTGGGGTGGGGTTAAGGTGGGAGTTACTGGAACGCACTGAA